ATACTTACCACGGCTTTCAAAAGGGTTAATAGCATTACAATGCTTAAGGACTTATACTTGAGAAATTCAATATTAACAATATTTGATTTAATACATTCTTATACGGGACATCGAAGAAAACACAAAGAAAACCAGAAAAAATATTTTTAAGGAAAAGAAGAAAAATTATTTAAAAAAAAAGTTTTTCTTTAAAGCTATAAACAATTTTTTAAGCACATTATTAAAAAAAATCAAAAAGCCGGAAAACAAAATAAATAAAAGATATCATTTTGTCGTCAGCTTACACAATTAAATAACAGAGTGCTTTCTGGTATTGGTCCCGCAGTGGACTGATCGTTGGAACACGGTTCCAAGTAGAACGCTTAAGTCAAGCATCACTGGCTGGTGGGTGGTTTACTACTTTGATCAGCCTGCGTAGGGCGCCGAGGGTACGCGGTTATTTCCTCGTTAAACTGTTCTACCGTAAAGTGCTTAACTTCACGTGCAGGACGCCTGTCTACCGAAACAGGGGTGCCATCCCCTCCGCGGAGGATCAAAATTGTGATAGCATGTCTTCGGAGAATCCTCAGGGATGTTTCCCAGACCGACGCCAATAGCCCATAATGCAGCTCTAGAGCGATTTAAATAAAGTACCTACCTACCATTCCAGTATTGTATTAATATAGCCAAAGTAAAATATATCAATGCATTATTGTATTGTATTGATATATTTGAATATTAAATATTAAATCTTTGAATATTTAATATTCAACTCTTCTGAATATTCAATCCTCTTTTTGTCTGTAGGGGGCATTCAGCCTGACTGTGTGAACTTATCAAATCAGAATGGCAACATAACTGGAATATTACCGATAGCTAGAAAAGATAATAAAGATTACCATGCATGCTGGAATATTTTGAATCCCCATAATCGTTTGCTGAAAATAGAACTGAAGCACTTGGATTTTAAGTATTCGGTATTTAGAAATATACTACTTCTGCATAATTGATTAAGATTCAAAAATTTAAAAAAAAATGTGAAATGCATAGTTAGATATCAAAGTATTTCACTTTCAGAACTGGCGAATTATTAGAACACATTTTGGTTGAATTTTTAAAAATTGTGTTTTAGTTCTTATTTTGTATAGTAAAACACAAAATTTGAGCAAAAAGAGATCGCTCTCTTGGCCAAACTGGGGTGGCCATATTTCCTAGATTACGGTTGCCCCCTATATTTTGGGGTTCAGAAAAAAAAATGTGCTTATTCAGTGAATGTACGTTTTTGCGCATTGTGTACGTTTTGTGTTTCGTAACTTAAAATATCGTCTGTAGTGAATAAATAAGCATATTTAAGGTCTTGTACTTGAACTATTAAGAAAGAATCCTAGCATGTAAAGATCCGATCATTAGATCAAACGTTAGAACTACTTTTGATCTAATGATGGGATCTTTAATGATCGGTGTTATATGTTTATCTACCATTTAATTTAACTACCATTACACGGAGAGGAAAATCTCCCACTGTTAGCTTGATAACAAGAGGACTCTAACCCATGATCCGTCTACCACTGAGGATATTTTACGTTGGCAATGTTGTCGGTGAAAGCCGGGTGCGGAACTCGAACCAACCCGGTTCATCTCCTTGGAAGGCGAAAGCTCTATCCCCTAAACTACGGCTCTGCTGCTGTTTTTAAACTTTTTGGTAAAGGATATAATTAGTGATAGGGCGACTAAATATAACAAACTGTGATTAAAAAATTCTCGGCCAGTTGCTATTCTACACCAATTTTTCAGCAATGGCCATGTGCATTTTATGCATTTCTGTGAAGAAAAAAAAACTAGTTTTTATTTTTCCTACTTTGTGTTATTTTTTTATAAATACGTAAGTATTATGAATATTTTATAATATTCTGAAAGCTATTTTATTTCAGAATATTATGAAAAAAGTTTTCACGAAAATTTTTTTTCTTTATTCTAAAAATAAATCTTGAAACTTATCCATATTTTGAAAAAAGGCTTCCAAAGAAATGCCTAATATGTTTAACATTAAAAGAATTTTTAAATCGTTTAATATTATCAATTTAAAAAAAAGTGTTCACATGTTTTAAAAAGTGACCACTGTTAAAAATGCTACAACTGGCTAGTAGCGAAATCTTTCCTGTTCTGGCTTGTGTTCAAAATGCTTTGTGGATAAGATTCTTTGTAATAGTGGTGATATAATTATGGCTTTTACAATTGTAAGCAGATATTATTTTAAGTATGCAGACACAGATTAAAAGAATATAGTTAGAACTCATTGATATTTATTTAAATCATTAATATCAAGTGGTGGTCAAAATGGCCGGGATAGCCTGATTGGCACGCCGCTGGACACGCGTTCATGAAAACGGGAGTTCGAATCCAGCCCTGCCGACCAGGATATTCCGGTCACTCTTAAAATGAATACCAACTTACACCGAAGAGCCATTACATTATGACCACCCTCCATCTATAACAATAGGCTCGCCCAGAGTTTCATGGTTTCTCGCCCAGGAAGAATGTTTTCAAGGGGCACATTAGGACCCCTAATCCTCATAGAAAAATCCCTGACGTCTGTAAGTTGCAGAACATAGTTGCAGACCAGGTTCACCCATTCATGGCAACAGTTTTTCCTGCGGGGGATTGTGTTTGCCAACAGGATAATGCACCATGTCAGAAGGGTCGAATCGTCATGGATTGGTTCGAGGAACATTCCAGTGACTTTCAAGCCATGTCTTGGCCCCCAAATTCACCTGACTTTAATCCAATAGAGCATTTGTGGTCCTAATTGGTAAACCAAATTCGTGTTGCCACGCTACCCCCTCGCAATGTGAGTGAATTGCAGGACCAGTTGGTGAGCGCTTGGTACCAGATACCTCACACTACCTATTAGCACCTTGTGGAATCAATGCCACGGCGGGTGCTAGCAGTTTTGAGAGCTAAAGGTGGTCCTACATGTTATTAGCAAGGAGGTCATAATGTAATGACTCTTTGGTGTATATGCACTTATGATTTTTTCACGTGTTTTACAGAGATACTGTGCTTGGGTAAATGTGACCATCACAGCAAACAGAACTGGCGAAAGATTTAAATTCTGCTTTAACTCTGACGAAAAGAAACCAATAGCTGTCTATTCAGATGTCACCGTCGCTTTAATGCTTAGTAATGGAGTATCTGGTTTATTTGGCTTAAAAGTTTTTGAGCTGCAGTACAAAATGGGTGAGACAATTTAACTTCAGTCACTTATTTAACTTATAATAATGGATTATTCTGTCACAATTCTAACTTATAAGAGATATTTTTTTGGTGTCATTTAGATGTCTTTCAAAAATTTTTACTGACGAATTTTACGCTTAAACATTTTCTCTACTAAATTTCACTTAAAACTATTCTAACTATTGCGAAACGTGTGTGGAAATCTATCTCCAACTTTTTATAATAATACAACAAACCGAAAATCGGGATGCGTTATTTAGCACGCGAAAGAGGTACATCGCGATCAGTGTATGACAGCAGAATCACTCGAATTTCGCATTTAAAAATCATGAGCGAAAAAATGCGTCACTCTTCTACATGACCATCCTATCAGCAGGTCAATACCCCCCTCAATAACCAGTTAACACGTCCGACAGGAAAAGGGTTTATGGTTCCTTAGAAGAGATGGTGTTAAAAAAGATAACTTATTTCTTTTATATCTTCAACTGAAACATGCATCAATGAAAGGTTTCTTACCTGTTCTTCAACAAGGGCGGTTCGTATCTAAATAAATCAAAATAATGACCATAAACTCAAGAAAAGATACTTCTTCGAATTAGTTAACATGTGTATATTAACAGCACTATAGAAACAACACTACAAAATACAACATGATCTCTCGATCGTCGGTAACATAACATACTCGTCTGCCAAAATTGTTAATTAGTAAGAGTTCTAGATCTCGTGGCGCCATCTAGTTTGTTTTCTAGCAAAGGAAAATGGTATTCTGTTTTTAACAGATATCATGATGAAACAAGTGTTGACTATCTCAACATCCTTACACCCAAGTCAAAGTTCTTGATGGTTCCATCAAAAAATTTTGATGGTTTATGTTTGTTTCAATGCGATTCAAGATGGTCCAACATCATTTGATGGTTACCATCATCCAACATCTTCCATTATGAGTTCATGTTTTTTGATAAGCCCACAAGCTTCCATAATTCCATGGACCTCTTTCATTTGATCCTCATGGACCATGATGGTTCCCTCTATACATTTCCATGATGGTTTAATAGGAATTCTTGTTGGTTCTCAGGAATATACCATCAAAACAATTTGTTTGTTTCTTTTAAATGTTAAACCATCATAAATCAGTTCGAATACTTAGATTGGAATGATGGTTGTTCATGATCATTCAAAGATTTGATTTCTAAGATACTATGATGGAAATTCGTGATGAATCATAATGGTACAACAATCCATTTTCATGATAATAATTCTTGTTGGTTCAATACAAAAATATGCAATCAAAAGGATTTGGGGTTTTTTTTCATGTTGACCCATCATAAATCAGCTCGAATTCCTATATTGGGGTGATGGTGGTGATCATTGTAACATTAAATTTCTAGAAAGCTGTAATGGAAATTTTTGATTAATCAACACGAACAAACCATCAAAACAAGTTTCCATTCTTATGTTGGTCCCTCCTAAATCAGTCCGAGTTGCTTCATCGGGGTGATGGTTACTTATGTTTACCATCAAAAAGTATAATGGTTCATGATGGAACTATTGATGATTACCATCAGGATTATATTGGTTCATCAATTGAAACGATAAGAAATTTTGACTTTGAAAAACTGTTATTCTGGTTTTACAGGTGATAGCATCGAAGGGATTGAAGAAGCCCGTTCTAGAGCTGTTCACCTACTGAAGAGTAAGTGGTCAACATGGAAATGGATCGATCACATCCCGAAAGCAGTCACAGCTCTTTCTTTGGCCGAAGGACCTCATTTCGGAGATCTTGAAGACTACCTTATGTTGAGGCAAAGAGATATTCAAATATTATTATCATTAGTGCGGTAAGTGAACGCATTGTTTGCTTAACCCTTTATTTAGTAGGTTGTTTTATTCATGACAATCTGAAAAGTTGATCTTTTTACAGGTTTAAATTATATGAAAATCGCTATCAATTAATATTAGTTATTGATTGTGATGAACAAAGGAGACCTTTAACTGAAATGACTTCGAGAGGGACCCTGGGTTGCACGGGTGTAAATGTACAGATGTAAAGATGAGCTATTTACAGAGCTCTAAGTTACAATTGAAGAATGTTCCGTAATATAAATTACACATGTTGCATGCCCTATAGGTCAGAACAATAAAATTTGGAACACAACATATGAACAGAATTGTAAATGGTGGTGTCTAGATGTAAGGAAAGATTAATCAAAACACGTTTTTAGAAGTACAGCTTATCTAAATGAATATTTTCTCATACCTCGGTATAAATAAGTGTGATACTACTGCTCGGGGACAACTCATGATTGCCAAAATTTTCTTTATGTTATAATTTTGTTTCCTTAATTTTGCTCTTGAGTATATAACTTAAATTTTTTTAGTTGAATTAATGTTCATATGAAATGATTTGGTTTCAGGGAAACACGTTTCAAAAGAGTAGCAGCGAATAACTCTAGATATACTAATTCAGAGACGCAGTGTACGGAGGCTTATCTTGTGACCGCCAGAGAGTAAAAATATCTAGCTATCACACTAATTAAAAGCACACTCTACACTCATCAATCCTTGTTATATTAATGCAATGAATGGTGGCATAATGCGTATAATAGTTTGCTGTTATTAATTGGTCTATATTAGAGAGTGTAGGAAAGTAGTTTATATAAATTTTGCTCTAGTAACATGTGTAAGATAATTCACGCGATAATTTATTGTTTTTAACTGGTTTATGTTGCAGGGCGTATAAAAAATGTTAATAGATGTATTTTGTTTTTATAGCAACTTAAGATATGCTTAAGATAAATTCATATAATGATTTATTGTTTTTAATTGGCCTGTGTTGCAGAGTAAGTGAAAGTTATTCATAAATGTTTACTGTTTGAAGAAATTTTGATATCAACGGAAAAATTTTTAATGATTCTTATAAACCCACCAGCTCTTCGAAAAAAATTTAACACCAATGATCTTTATGAATACTTTGCATTCCTTTTAGTGACGTCCATTTGAATGACCAGCTTAGCACATTCATTAACTCCTTGCTTTCTACTTGTCACGATCCTCGTGATTTTTATGGATACAATTTGGTAAAACTTCTGAAAGAACAAGTGATGTCTGGAAACTTTACCCATCCCACATCTTATTTAGCTCTCTGTAACGCCAACGAAACATGGCCAGATAGAGCTTATCAAGATCTCGTCAACACTTACAATAGCAGCATCGACATACCGTTTAGAAGAGGTAAGATCCAATAAATATATTTATCAGTGTTATATAATTCATTAGTATCTAAAAAAGGTGACATAAAAACGTCCACCAAAATCATCAACCAAAAAGATCCCCTTCTCTGACTGCCTCGTTTGCTTCCACCTCCGCCACCAACACTCCATAGCAAAATGCTGCCATCGGAAAATTGAAATTGCATCACATCAGATGGCCACCACGGCTTTGGTTGATTTGGAGACAACCGACACAGCTGCTACCACCAAATCTGTTTGTATGTTTTGACACTCACCAACTTTGTTACATAATTTATTAGTATCTAAAGTGGTGACATACAAACATCCACCAAAATCATCCACCAAAAAGATCCCACGCTACCCGTTCTCCGACTGCCTCGTTTTCCTCAACCTCCACCACCAAAGATTCATAGCAAACCATTACCAGTAGAGCATTGAAGTAACATCATATCAGATGGCGACCATGGTTTTGGTTGGTTTGGAGACAACCGACACAGCGGCTACCACCAAATCTGTTTGCCTGTCTTGAAAAGCAGCATATATATAGCAGGGATAGAGAATGCTCTATTCTCTCAGTCACCGAGTCATAATTTGTTCTTAAATGTATATCAATATGAGTGGTAGATTTTTGATCCGTTCCTATTACACCGTGATATTTAAACATTTTCATATTTTTAGACACTCTGTGTATTCCTTCCATATTGCTTTTCTAGAATACCAAGCATTCGCAGTGATGGCTCTTTCTTGCGAAATTCGTCGAAGGGGAAATCATTCCATTGCAAAATTTAAAAAACTCTCAGATTTTTATGAAAGTAATATTCGAGAGTTTAAAGCCCTGCAAAAACCGAGTGGTAGCTTGGGAAACGTGCACAGAACTGCTCTTATTACTCAGGTAGGTAGAAATTCTTATGTTTTTTCGTTTCATGACCTAGAACTAGTGAATAGTCTTTTTTTTAATTTTATAACCGTCGTTGAACAGTTAATCCAATTTTTTGGGTTTACAACAACTACTGTTCATCTCCGCAACTTTGTAATTTTGAACCCAATCCCCAGAAGACAAGGAAACTCCTGGATCAAATAGTGGGAGAAATTCGCCTTCGCGGAGCACTTTTTTGATGGAACTAACCAGAATATGCACTACATCGAAAGGAAAACCACGAAGAGCCCCCACGGTTAGCCTGACGGCAAGGGGACTGTAACTCATGATCTGCCTCTCGAGTCCAGTACCCTGCCAACCAGACAATCCCTGTCCACATACATTAGGTTCAAAAAAGCATTATGCTTTTATTTTAGATCCAAATATAAGTATTTATATTATTAATATGTTGTGATATTCTTCAAACATTAATCCTAATGATAAAACACTGAGGCTACAACGTTTCTTTATGTTTTTTAGGCCTATTAGGGCGCTATATCGCGATTCTTTATACCTTCTTCGGCTGCTAGAGTCAGATAGGTTCATTTTACGTATGTTACAGTGGACTATGGGCCGTAAGGTAGCCCATAATTTAGAGATTTAGACTCCGATCCGTATAGGCCGCGGCTTGATCCTCAACTCCGCTAAGACCTACCGAGTACATGTAATATACATGCTCGCAAAATCTATGGAAACAAAAGTCCTGAGATAGGTCACTGAACAGTACCATGGATACAGAAAACTATTGAAAATGTCCTTTTCCTTCTGATCTGTGTCTGAATAAGTTGGTGCTACCATCTATCTGTGGTAATTTGAGATAAAAACGTACTTTCACCTTTGCTGCACCTTTCTAGCTTAATTCGCCAAAGGTCAATGACTGCAGAGCTTGGCCAATCTATGTAACATTAGAAACAACAGCAATGGACCGTGAAGGGAAAATCGCGTGATGTGATCACGATTCTGAAAAGATTTAAGAAGCAAAAAAGACTTTTTTTTTTAAATTATTCTTAAAGTGCTATTTACAAACGCCCCATAACAAAACATCCATATATTTTCAGGCGTTGATTGCTAGCGGTCATAAACAGGAGAGTGATTGGAATTATAATAAAGCTATGGAAACTTTAGTGGAATCAATAAATACGTCTACACCTGACATAATTTCTATATATTTAATTCTACCTTTGCTGAATGGAAAGAGTTTGACAGACACTGCTTTCACAAATTGCTCATCACTGAGAAATGGTAAATTATTTTTTGCTTTTTTTTTTCAAATAATCAGACTATAATAATTTTAAGATTTTTCTTCTTTCACAAATATCTTTCATATTTACAGATGATCTGGTGGCTGAAATTCATGATGATTACTTAGGACCGAAAATTAAAATTCAGTACTCGCTGTTTGTAGGAGATCCTAAAGATGCCATCTACACCATAGTACTCAAAGTGCCAAAACACTATGCGGCTTTCGATGTGATGCAGCTTATTTCAAGGAAATACACCAAATATCAGTAATAATTCATATTCCCTTTTTAAAAGTTACACAGGGTAACAAATTTTTTGTTGCATTTATGCAAGTATTTGATATTACCTAATCTGTGTGTGGAGATAACAAGTTAGAAATTGTTCCGAAAACTATAGATTTTTTTCCAAAATGATATATATTTAGCTTAGTTAAATTTTTGTTTGGATGGAAGCTTTATAAAGGAAGTATAGGTTTGCATGCATATACACTTGCCTGCACCTTTTAAAATAATATTTAAGAGGAAAAGAACTTATGACCTAAACGTATTGCCACATAAACTGAAATACATTATAGCCTTTTCCCTACTACGTCTTACGTGGCAGAGAATCGGGGACGTTAAAATTTATTCGAGTAAACTCGACAAAATACTGGTTTTGAATATATTATTATTTTTTTAAAAAAAAACCAGTAGTTTGAAGAGAGAAACCGATTGCAGATTTGAAGCTGGTGATGCGAAAGTATCAAGGATGCGTTAAAAAAATCACATGCAACAAAAAATGATTAAAAAAATTTTCCCTGGAGTAAATAATTTTTTTTAATTATAATCTAATGAGTCGAATCACTGTCATTAATGTTTTAGATCATTAGTATTGAAAAACAACAATAGAGATGCATTTTCTCTAAATTGAATTTTATTTTAATATATTTTTGAGTATGGGCTTATTGGTAGAAGATCATTCAGACCATCATAATTTACAGTTAAGACAAATGATGTTACAAAAAATTAAAATGAGTTTCTAAAATTGAAAAAATACGCTATCCGGTCAAAAGTATCCGGACATCTGGTTGTTGTGGTGGTGGAAGCGTAATGGTGTGGAGGTGTTTCTCTTGGTTTGGCCTGGGTCTGTTAGTGTGACCTCCGAGAAGTATGTGTACCTTCTGGACAATGCTGCACTCCCAACTCTAGGGCAATATTTCGGGAAAGATCCATTTCTCTTCCAGCAGGATAGCTGCTCCATTCATACATCGAGGCACGTACAATTGTGGTTTGACAAAATGGTTGTTCAAAAACTGGACTGTTCTTTTCAGAGCCCCGATCTAAATCCCAAAGGACACCTTTTTGACGAATTAGAGCGCAGATTACGTCACCAACCAAATTGACCATCCTCACTGCAAGCACTCACGTCAGCTGTGATGGAAGTCAATTCTTTTTGCCACCTATCAAAAGCTGATGGAAAGTCTTCCCAGACGTGTGCAGGCTGTCATTGACCCAAAAAGGGGGACCAACATCATATTAATATGGGCCTCAGGACGCTCTAAGTCCATAACACTGGATGTCCGGATAAGTTTTGCCAGATACTGTATATTCATACTTTTAAAACCTTTAACTAGCTTCTGTGCTTTGCTCTATGCTTTGCTTCTGTGCTTTAACTAGTTTCTGTTCTATTCTCGCAAATATCAGTATTTTAGACTTAAGATACAATCAGGCGCAATAATGAATCGTGTTTTTTATTTCAGATTTTGATATGAACTAGATTCTGATAGAATAGATGTTTATGAAATGGCCGATATCCCAAATGACCCAGAAGGTAGAAAGTTCTGGCAATTTTATTTAAAAATTGGAAACCAATTCAAACACTTTGAGTTAGGTAAGACTTTTGAAATTTATTCGAAATTTCTGTCGAGTTTACTAAAAGTGAAAATTTTCACAAGAATCTTAGATTTTAGTCACAATTTTTTTCGAGATTTTAGAATAATAGGTAAGATTATGTGTAAGGATAAATATGACTATGTTCTTAGCCTGTATTTTTGATAATTTTTATTGTAATGGGGGATAACTTCACCAGATTAGATACCTGAAACCTTAAAAAATTACTGAATAAGAAATAAAACACTCATCCAACTATTTATAAGCACTGAAACTATGGAAATATTAGTTTTGACATGATTGTTTAATGCTGCAAGTCTTTTTAATGTTATATTTAAAATAAAAATTCACTTTTAATTGTGCCTAAAATGAAACTAGTCATTTATAAATTCTTTTACATGTTCATTACCAGCCGAGAGCAGGTGATTATACAATATCTATCATTAAAGAGTGGTAATCGATAAATTTAAAATTAAATTTTCTTATTTTAGCAACCATTTTAGTTCTTAAATTTTACTATAAGTTTAATTTAATGAGCAATATATTATTGTCATTTGAAAACATATTTTCTTCAAAAATAGCCACTTGAAGTGTTTTAATGATACAAATTATAGTAGATGTGTAGTAACAAACGTCTGGTGTAGTAGATGCGTAGTAAAAAATCTTCTGGAGATATCGCATGATGGAATAATAAACGTGTTGGCGTGTGACCTATTTTTAAAAAAATCATTAAGTCTAATAATATAAAATTTAAACTAAAAGATCTTACTGTATTGTATCTAGATAAATGTTTGAAAATAATTACTAGAAATATTGAAATACCAGACACTATATCGCCATTCTATTTGGGGAACGATCTAGCAAATGTATGCACATTTTTTAAGATAGCACTGAGCTGAGTAAATAGCAATAATTAGTTTATTTATAGAAATTGAACAGAATTGAGTATAATATCAGAATATATTGAATAATTAAATTGATTAAATAATATAATTGAGTATTATTTTTGATTAAAAGTACCTAAATCTTTCCTCTGTTTACAATCCTTTGAAGTCTGAGTTTCGTCCTTTTGGAAATCTCAACCATAAATTATCCGCGTTCTTTATTTCCAATTTCTAAATTTGTGGCCCGGTGGCTTCGCACTCTCCTGCCACAAGTTCTGCGTTCGATCTTCGGTGTAGGCAAAGTTAATTCAGCCTTTCATCCCTTCAGTGGGTCGATAAAATGAGTGCCAAGCCTGCTTTGGACCTAAACACTAAGGATTCCGTGTTCGGCTGACCACCTAACCGAGACATCTGCTCCGGCACCCCAGAGCCGAAGGTCAAGAAAACTGAGATGGGCAGAGTAGGCCTTGGACCTATATGGGCTGTCACGACACTGAGTTTAGTTATATTTGTGGCTTGGATTTGTCTCAGAATAGTTTTTCAATCTCCTACACTGTTAGAATTTTCATTCTAAAATTATGGAAGCAGTCTTTACATCTGATTAACCTTAAAGTTTACGGTAAAGAATATTTTTCACCTTTATGGTTTTAAAACTCTCTACAACTAGTATATGGTTGCAAAACCAGGAATACAAAACTCTCCGGTTCGTTAACCATTTACAACTAGCATGATTTCAAAACTGTAAAAAGAAATTTAACTGAACATAGGATCTATGTTTTGTGTGAGGTAATGGGCATAGGAGAGTGCAGGGCACTAAAAACTCTTGTTTTGAATAGTGAAATATTTTGAATGGTGAAATATTTTGGTGTCTTCGCTGGGGCTCGAATCCCAGTTCTGTCGATCATGAGACAAAAAGATTAGCCCTTTCGGCTATAATAAGTACGCAGTTGCAATTAACTAAACGGCTTCATTAGGTGGATTTAATTGGTGTGATGAAATTCTGATTGTTAAACCGTTTTAGGTGAAAGCAGTTAATAAACGGTTTTTTTCTCCCAATTAACAGTTTGATTAACCATCCTTTTAATGGTTATTCGACTGTTTTGTTTAAATATGGTAAAATAAGAATGAAATAAACTAGTATTTAACCATTTTTTCCGAGAAATTTCTTAGAGTGTATGCTCAGAATTTAACTGATTGTTGAACGCTTGTCTTGAATGCAAAGAGTCACATTGTATAACTGTGTGCAGAAAAGACATGCAAAAACAGAAAGAATCAATGAGCATCTATATTTCTCAGAATCAAATGATTTATTTAGAAATTATTTCAAGAAGAATAGAGAATAGAAATAACCATTATTTTTTTCGAAATTTCGTAGGTCCAAATCGTCCAGCTTTAGACGAAGGAGATCACATTGCCATGTGGTACAAGAAAGCGGCATCACACTAACTCTAAATAAAAAGTATCAGCATTACTTTGAACTTATTTTGCATGTAATTGTAAATTTTAATAAACGTACTGTTTTTAATAACATAGCAGTTGCTTTACTTTTTATTATTTGTAGTTTTTTAATCAGTTTACGACCATTAGTTTTTTTTAACATCGATTAGAATTTTGATAGTCAATGAAACAACAAAAAATGTTGCTTGAACTATTTAGGGGACAATTATAAATTTTATTCAAATCAAGCTGAAATTTTGAATTGGGATTTGTAACATAGTCAAAGAGGTTTTTAAATTTCGATTGGAGATAAATTCTTTTTGGTGATTTAAACCCTGATCGTAGCAAAACTAATAACCAATATTATTTTTAAGAAAATAATAATAAAAATTAAAGAAAAATAGAAATTTAAGTCATTAATGACTCCTTTTCGGTTCACCATAAAGAGTACAAGAATAAAAAATTTATACAAAATATTTTTTTAAAAAAAAACTGTTACAAAAGCTAAAGAGAATTTACACAAGCTTTCCTTAAGGCAATGTAACTCAATAAAAACTGCAACTTAGGTTCAGGGTGAGGATACCTTCCTAAAAACTGAAGCTTTGACAAATGTTTTTAACCTTTCGTCAAGTAATTTACTGATGATTATAAATACTGTAGTTTTGTTCAGGGTTTTCCCTACCGTAACCTAAGTTGCAGCTTTCATAAAGTTTTTTTCACAGCTTTTGTAAAGGTTAATCCATTTCCTGCACCTCTTAGCACGTACACTAAGCATATAGTTTGAATTGAATTTTCACTGCTGTCCTCTATAATTTAACATTGAATCAGGGGTGAAAGCGAGACGGAAAAGAGGAAAAGCTGGTAGTAAAACCATTTCAGTTATAACTAGCTTTCGGGAGGAGTTAACTTATTCTTTTTAAAACAATTCAACACTATCTACTTTATCCCTGGAAAATTCGCAGTTTTACATATAGACTAAAATTATAAAAGAAGTCTTGATAGTTACAGATATTTTATTTTTCTCAAAAAAAAATGCTAAAATGTCTTTTGTACCAGTTTTTGCGCTTTTCCGTCTTCCTATATAAGGGCTTTCAGCCATGCATTGAATACTGCTTCCCACATCAGCAAAGGCACTTGTCTTAGTAACGAAAAGGAATTGACCACCACCCAGATAGCAAAATAATTTTTATTTTAACTCAGCAAAAACCTCTTAATGTAAACCTAAAAAGGTTTGTTATGTGGTTTATGTGTAAACCTTAAAACAAGATCTGTGACAATCTGCTTTATTCTACGCACATTACCCTAATCCAAAACCTTGAGAAACAATCTTCTATATAAAAACCTTAAATCGAGGTTGACTTGGTATTTTTAAGCGTGAAAAAATCCTTTAATAAAGCTAGTCTCAAGGTGAAAATAATCTTAAATCTAGGTCATTATAAGATATTTCTTTTTGCAAAGTCTCGTTTGCTGAGCTAAATTCCATCTTCTCTTGAAATTTTAATGGATAATGTCAGTTGATCCTATTGCTAGTGTAACGTCAGCTAAAACATCACTATGGATCTAAGTGACCATTTTACTTAAGTGGCAATACTTTTTAAAAAAGCTTTAAAAAATAATTTTTTTTATCTTTTTAGGATAAAAGGCTTGAAACTGCAATATTTTTGCTTTTTTGAAAAAAATTTTTAAATACAAACGTTTTCGTGACTATAAGAAGAAAATTCTGACACAAGTTTACCGTAAGGTTATACGCCTTCTGGGCAGTCTATGTTAGTTTAAAAAATAACGGATATGTTGTTTCTCCGTGTGTAGATTCGATAGTTTGGCTCCTATAGCCATTTTTCTAAGAGAGACAATTGCTGTTCTGATTTAACCCTTTCTCGCCGACTGTCACAAATACGTGCCAGCATAAAACCGTATCAATCAGGGTAAAAAGATAAAACTGATAATCAAAGTAATGCTTTAACAGTTAATTTGTGGGCGGAGTTATAATTGCTTGATTTATTTAATTCACCGTTACTTTGTTCAAAATAAAACTATTTAGTTATACTTTGAATTAACATTGATTATATATATGATTAAACTAACAATAATTAAAGTAAAAGCAAAGTAAGTCTGTCAAATTAGCAACGACTACATTTAAGTTACCGTTTTTTATTTAATTACAACTTGATTCTGATTTTGTACGAATGCTTTTCTGAATCACCCGTCCCCAAGGGGTTAAGATATACATTGTAATTTCTGTCACACTTTCACGTATACGCAGAATTTTTATGAAGCATTTTTTTCAAACTTTCTCATTATTTTGTATTAAATTAGGTAAAAATGAGTGAAAAATATTATATTTAGCATTTTAATCATTTTTGGTTATGAAATACAGCATAAAACACTGGTGTCTTTTTCTGCGTTGAAGGTAAAATTTTACAAACGCAGCTCACTTCCAAACAATAATTTTTCAAATTTGCACTAATTTGCAATTATTTAGATCTAAGAGAAGCAGTTATTTATCATTGAAATTTTTTTAATTCTCCGAAACAATTGATACATTTTTAAATATGAATGAAATTTTTTTTTTAAAAATATTTTTCATAATTTTTTTCCTAACTACTTAATCCCCTTAATTACCGATAATCTAACTAATTTTTTTAGTTGTCACTATTAGACTGTCTTCTATAATTAAAAAATATCAAAAAATATTTTTGATTGTAATTACAGCGTCTGAAGAGAAATATTTTGTTTATTTTTTTAATGTCGGGCACTTGGGGGTTGTCCCATTGGCCACAGAAATGCCAGAATTATCCAGTGGGCACCTGTGGTGAAGCCACGGTGGTGGAGCAGCGTCGCCCGCGTCACACAACCACTAACCCGTTTATAGGGCGGGTCACATTCCCACAATCACACACAAAGGAGAAAGGACATAAACCACAGAGAGAAAGAAACACTCATGCCCTGAGCAGGATTCGAACCCGCGACCAGCGGCTCCGTTGTCAGACACGCTAACCACTCGGCCACCAGGTCGGCTGAAGAGAAATATATAAAAGTTGTCCCATCCGCGTCAAAGGGTTAAAGGGATGTCTTAAAATTAAAAAATTGCTACTGGCATACATGCAAATTTACTACTTCTATTCAAAATTTAAGTGAGCGGGAATTCTTTATTTTTTTAATAAACTGGTTTCTTAATATCCTTGATAAAAATGATACTGATACGATTTAAGCAATTTTCGGGAAATTTAAACTGTTTTAACGCATTTGTTCTTACCACAATACATTTATAATTGGGGATTCATTTTAAATTCAACGTTCATAATGTATTAAATTCGAAACAATTGTTAAAACAAACTTCAACCCTTTGGCGCCATTGAGCCATAGGTGTCCTTCTTATATATTTTTTCCCTGACACTCTAATTACCAGCAAAAATATATTTTGTTATTTTTTAACTATAAAAACAGTCTAATAGTTAAAGAACATTTTAGGTTATCGGAATTATGTTTGTACAAAAATACAATATCCCAAAAATGTAGTTTGAAAAATAAATTTTCTTTCATATTCCAAAATTTATCAGCAATTGATTTTGTAAATTAACAAAATTTCTGTGATGAATAGCGGTTTATCTTAGATGTAATAAATCATGTAATTACTGCAAATTTGAAAAATTATTATTTGAAAGTGATCCATGTTAGGAAGACTTTACCTTTAACGCAGAAAAAGACACCGGTGTTTCAAGCTGTATTTCATAAACATAAATTATTAAAATGCTAAATATAATATTTTTCCCTTGCTTTGTCCTAAATTAATACAAATGTTTTGATAATTAATTCCCTTGATAATTTATGATTATATAAAAAGTGATTGTAAGTTTCTTGTCCCACTAAAATCTACACATNTTTTTTTTTTTTTTTTTTTTTTTTTTTTTTTTTTTTTTTTTTTTTTTTTTTTTTTTTGTACAAGCCATTATTTTTTTTTATTGTATCCCAAACATTCTCTTTCGGTGTTAGCTAAGATGTTTTTTGCTTTCTAAAAAAGCTATTCAGTTTTTTTTTATGAAGCTAATGCGTTGTAATGTCTAATCTCCACTGAACAATCATCATGAAAGCTGGATGAGGCTCAGTGCACTCTGCTTTTTTGTATTTAGAATCATTAGCACTCCTGTCATATATACTGTCTTATAGATAGCAAAAACCATAATATTTCCTTTTATTTTCATACATGTTTCTATTCATTCTGGATCATTCTATTGCTTTGATTGTCCGAACAGCTAGCTATTTTTCATATAAGCTTAGGTTCTGTTACGTAGTTTGCCTTCTTTTTAACCTCTATTTAAAATTAAATTGAAGTATTTTATTTTCGCAGGCAATCAATTTTTTTCTTATCCAGCTCATGAATGTATCTTCATTATTGCTATCTGCGGTGGGCTCACTAGAATGATCACGAATAGCTATTGCTTTCGGACTACTTGAAGTTTGCGTGCCTTCAGAAACCATGCTCTTTTTTGGAACAGGTTTCTCATTTTTCGCAAACTCATCGATTTCCAAAAACTCTTTCAATTCCAGAACTTTCTTCTGCAATGCTGCATTTTTGCGCTTTAACATTTCCCATTCCTCATTCAATTCCTCAACTCTTTTTTTCAATACATCAGCATGCTTGCAATTCTCACATTCGAGTTTTTCACGCGTTTGCTCAAATTCAGTGTTGGGTTTTTTTACTTGCAGTGGCTTAACACTGACATCGTTTGGTTTTCATCTTTGCAAAAATGCAGCCATATTGCATCTGGACCTGTTCCAATCTGACCGCCCTTTTCAAAGAAACAATGCTCCATTGCTTTTGCAGCATTCCACCGCTTCCTTCGATCGGGCATCAGAAAAGTGTGCACAAAATTCAGCGCAAGCCTAATTTGCCCCTCTGGAATGCCCGTTGCAGGAAACAATCCACTCATGAAGCTTTTGAAAACATCCCCCTAAAAAAATACGGTTACAAAATTTTAATCGCGAATAATTTTTCGATAGTCAAAGCATTTTTGAAAAATATGTTTATATTCAGAGAAAATATATTTGTGTGTTTTATTTATTATTTTAAAATATCACATACACATAATATTTAGCATATTTATGGTTAATTCCGCGACTCTTTTCACGATTGCTCCCATCCGTTTGTGAAAGTTAAATCATTAGATCAAAAGTTATTAATATGCTTATTTGCGCATTTTTCATTAATTTGAAATAGTATCATAATTTATGTCCTTAAAGTAAACATATTTCTTTTTCACTCAATAATTGAACTTTATATATGTTGCACATATCGCCACAAAAGATTAGGCTCACATAAAATTTTTCTATAAATTCTAAAACAATGTATATTTTTTCTAAGCACTGTACTGAATATATATTAAATTGGCAGAAAAAGATACAACAGGAAATGAATACAATTCCTTAAACATTAAAGCAGAAAAAATATTCGTATTTTGATCAGTTTAAACTGCCACAAAAGTTTAAACCCAATTAACTAACAACTAAATACAAGATTTTAAAATTTAGTATGTAGTATTTTAAAATTTTGTATTTAAATTAAAGCAAAATGCAAAATTTTCATAATTAATTTGATAAACCATTTTTTAATCAATTGGAATGCTTAGTTTTCCATTGAATGTTGAAAATTGTCCATGTTTTCTATATCTATCTAGAACTAGACCATGTTTTCAGTTGAAGTACTGATGAATACTGCTTTTCGTACCCTTATGGAACCTATAATGCGATACCTAATATTTTTAATTTGATTTAGATCAGGGTTAAGTGTTGGTAGGGGTAGTTTAGAAGTGCTGTATTTTGTAAGTCTAAGCCATTGTTTTAAAGACGTAGATTTATGTATACTAGCACCGTTTTGTTGAAATCAGTCTTGTTCTTCGTCCCACCCAATATTTCTCTGATGATCACTTAATGAGCACTCAAAAACGCTGAACTTTTATAGTCAGAAAATACAAAATGAACCTCAAAATAATAGAGAAGCTCTACTATGATTGTTGTACCCAAAAGTTCCGCAAAAAATTTTCCTCTAGTAGCAAAATTTATACTATACAATATATTTCTTGTTTTTAAAAATAGATCACATTCTCTTCATATTATGTTATCTTGATATATTTCTTGATCACCACAACGGTTTCAAAACTTATTGCATATATCGACGTCTGATATATGCTAATTGAATATTTCACCTCAGAAGCAACACTCAAGCTAAAACACGAACACTCATAGAGTTAAGCACACAGATTGTTGAACCCTGTGAAAGAGCGGTTTTGTGGATCTGATCAGGGCAAGACATACCAACACCTCCTAGATAAGAGCAGGCCTCAGCACAGGTTACCATAAATATCCTTTAGTAGTCCAAACGTAATGACATATTTCGTATTTTGAACCACTGCGCAGCTTAGTACCCCGAACGTAATGACATTCTTCTTATTTTTCATCTACTGCGCAGTTATCTTCGTTAGATTGGACTACTAAATTGATCCGTGCTGAGGCCTTCCTTCTTCTAGGAGGTGTTGGACAAATCCGACTAACTTTTAGTGTATGGACCAACTTCGTACGAGTGGTAATTACCAAAACGATCGGGTCCCAACTTTAACAGAGGTACAAAATCTAACACAATTTAATACACCACTCAAATATATATTGATTAGCTTATTTGTAATTTGTTGATTTGTAAATATTTTAATATTTATTTAACTTGTTTTTATAATTAATTTACTTATTCAATTGTAATATTTTTGTAAATAATTCTACTTGTATTTCTATTCGTAATTTTGTAAATAATTCTATTTGTACTTTCATTTTCTAATTCAGTAATTACTATGGCAAAGTGCCATCTTCTCTCTTAACTCTCTGTCTTGCCAGTAGTGTTCCTTTATGTAACCAGTTTTTTACAGACGTTTATTAACACAGGATGAATGGGACATGTTAAAAAAAAATTTTGTTTCATTTTATAATTTTTGTTTCATTTTACATTTTTTGCTTAGTTAGTTTTATTTTTGTTTCAATTTTTTTGGCGCTCCTCACGCTATTGTATTCATATATTTTGCTTTGGCTATATTAATACAATGCTAGAAAGCTCAAATTTTTCCGGATATAATCATGTGAGATGATGACGAGATATATTTACCTTTTTCTATTTTCCAACTTTTTATTATTTTTAAAAATATTCAAATTCGTAAATATTAATTAAAAAACACTTTTTAACATTTTTTTCATCTCCTTTAAAAAATCTTTACACCTTTTTTTCATGTTTTCGTTATATTTTTAACTTTTCTATGTACTTGCAGCTTATGTGCCGCAAATAAAGGTACATATTTATATATCAATATTAAATCAAATAACTACACTACTAACGAATACATCACTCATTATAAAATTAAGATCAGGCTGTACATTTATAGCGGAAAATTTTTTTAGGCAAATTTGATGGAGATTGCTATCTGAGTTACCCAAAATAATTATTCTCTACATAATAATTATTATATTTTGTTTAAAAAAATAAATCATGCTATTAATCTCTATGAATATCTACCTGAAGAATGTTGAACAGGAAAGGATAAATATCCTTGTTCCAATTTTCGGCGCAGGTGATTGCATTACTCAGAGCTTTGTTGGTAAATAGCTCCAAGACCATAACTCCATACGCCCACATATCAAAAGCCTTGCCTTCAACTTCTGTCACACCCCCGAGTGATAGGCAAGCTTCAGGAGGTCTATACACACGTGGCAATCCAAGCTCATCCCTGGAAAACAAAATTAAAATCGTCACCTCAAGTCAAAGGTACCACGAGAAAATGTAATCATTATAAAATAAGCAGCAAGCGAGACACCATCTTGGACAACCCTTTCACAGATTAAGCTCGTATTTCATGTATATCCATCTAATCATGACTGTATTCATTTTTCAATGGCAATTAATGTAAATCTCCAATCAAGTTTGTACATACTTCTAATCATGGTTACCTTATTATAATGTTACCACATTGTTACATAATTCAAAATGTTTTATTCACTGTATATAATTTTCATGATGAATGGGGTAGGGGCCGCTGCGCGGCCTAGGCACCCAGTTTTGTTTAAATAAAGAAAAAGATCTTGGACAACCCACGGGAATGCAACTTGAGTTAAAGAGCCTTTACTCAACTTAAGATAATGAACTCACCAAGGAAATTTTAAAGAACTATAATGATTAAATATAATTTGTTTAGAAGTGTCAGCTTAATAAGTAGGTTGATACATTCTTTACGTCTCACTAGCGCTGCATAGTGGGCTATTGGCGATGCNTCAAAAGCCTTGCCATCAACTTCTGTCACACCCCCGAGTGACAGGCAAGCTTCTGGAGGTCTATACACACTCGGCAATCCAAGTTCATCCCTGAAAAACAATATTAAATTATTACGTAAAATCCTCACCCAGAGACAAAAGTAACCCGGGACAAATCTATGATTTGAAACTAATTAGTGAAACTAGTACAAATTTCAACAAAATATACTTCGGTAATTTTTTTTTAACAAACTTCGGTTCAATTATTGAAATACACATTATATTTTTGATTCACTGCACTTTTGATAATATATAAATAATAATATATTTATTTTATATTAATACAATAATAATTTAATAATAATATAATCTACTAATACTAAAAAAACTGAATAGAATCATAATTTAATCTCAAAATTTAAATACATTTTAGGCAATACATTTTGACCAATATTAAACAAATGTTAAAGGGCTCACCTTGGTATTGCCTTCGTCGCAGGTGCAAGACAAGAGAAGTCAGATATGACACCTCTATAATCTTGCGAGATCAAGATGTTATCGGATTTTAAATCCAGGTGACATGCCTCGTTAGAGTGCAAATAAGCCAAGCCACAAAGAGTGTCATGAAGCCATGATTTGAGGCAGTCTACGGCACATGTTTGATTCAAAAAGTGCTCGTTTTGGACTGCATCTTTCAAAGTGCCCCGGTGTACGGGCATTACAAAAACACCCACATCCGGGTCATTGAGGCTAAAATATTGCAAGAGGGGGATAATATTTGGGTGACGCATTTTTGGCCAAATTTCAATTTCACTTTTTTTAGTGACTTCAAGAGATACAACTTTGACAGCCACTTCTTGGCCAGAGAAGTCCATCATTTTGTATACGTCACCAAAAGCGCCAGACCCAAGCTTTTCAATGCATACGAAGTGATTAGCCTCTAAAATTTTCATGGCATCTCTTTTGTGTTGGTATCGCTCCCCTGATGAATCAGAGAGCATGGGTTCTTCTTGACCCAAATCATGATCATTTTCATCAAAATGATCACCCATTTCTCAAAACTCCTTTCTCAAAGCGCAGGAAAAAATATTTCCCAAATCAATTTGCTGTTAAGCAAGAACTCTAAAGCGCACAATCAGTTATGAAAGCACTAGTTAGAATGATTAAAAATGATTTTTATAATGTATTATTACTAGTTTCTAACAATGAAAATAGTTTATATTTCAAGTGCTAACAATTGTTTTTTAATTGTTAACAATAAAGAAATTTTTTATACAATGAAGTCTTAGTTGCAGATTTTTTATTTTTAACAATAGAAAGTGTAATCAATTGTTAGAAGACAGTAAATTGAATTCTAAGTGAAAAAGTAATGGCATTAGATTTTTACCATAAGATACTGGTTAAAAACAATATTTTGATCAAAGTATAAGTATTTTAATACCCATAAAATATACATATAGATATTCAGAGAGTTGCGTAATGACTACCTTAAATGAATCTATTTAGAATCCTCGCTAAAAATTATTTTAAAAATGTATACTCATTAGGGTTTACACATTAATAGTTAAGAAGGAAAAAAGATTACGAAAGCTATCAAAATCTTTCGAATTTTCTATGAGGAAGGCTACAGGAAAAAAAAATCGGAAAATTTTTGATTGCTATGAAAATTAAAAGTGTTTCTAAAAGTATTCTGAGAATTGCAGTCTTCTAATTATTTAACTACTCTTTGTTTTTTCCGGAACGTTTCCTACTTTTCAGAGGTGAATTGAAAGATGAGGGGGTTTCTTCCCCACTTAAGGATTTCACCTCATGTCCTCAATAATTTGAAAGATGAGGGGATTTCTTTTAGGGAACTTTTAAGGATTTCACTTCCTTTCTTCAATAATGTGAAAGATGAGGGGATTTCTTCCGACTTTTAAGGATTTCACCTCCCTTCCTCATTAATTTAAGGTTGAGGGGATTTCTTCCCCACTTCAGGATTTCACCTCATGTCCTCAATTATTTGAAAGATGAGGGGATTTCTTTTAGGGAACTTTTAAGGATTTCACTTCCTTTCTTCAATAATGTGAAAGATATGGGGATTTCTTCCGACTTCTAAGGATTTCACCTCACTTCCTCATTAATTTAAAGTTGAGGGGATTTACCTCATGTCCTCAATAATTTGAAAGATGAGGGGATTTCTTCCCCTCTTCAGGATTTCACCTCATGTCCTCAATAATTTGAAAGATGAGGGGATTTCTTTTAGGGAACTTTTAAGGATTTCACTTCCTTTCTTCAATAATGTGAAAGATGAGGAGATTTCTTCCGACTTTTAAGGATTTCACCTCACTTCCTCATTAATTTAAAGATGAGGGGATTTCTTCCCCACTTCAGGATTTCACCTCATGTCCTCAATAATTTGGAAGATGAGGGGATTTCTTTTAGGGAACTTTTAAGGAGTTCACTTCCTTTCTTCAATAATGTGAAAGATGAGGGGATTTCTTCCGACTTTTAAGGATTTCACCTCACTTCCTTATTAATTTAAAGTTGAGAGGATTTCTTCCCCACTTCAGGATTTCACCTCATGTCCTCAATAATTTGAAAGATGAGGGGATTTCTTTAAGGGAACTTTTAAGGATTTCACTTCCTTTCTTCAATAATGTGAAAGATGAGGGGATTTCTTCCGACTTTTAAGGATTTCACCTCACTTCCTCATTAATTTAAAGTTGAGGGGATTTCTTACCCACTTCAGGATTTCACCTAATATCCTCAATAATTTGAAAGATAAGGAGATTTCTTCATCGCTTAAGGATTTCGCCTCACTTCCTCATTAATTTGCCGATCCTATGGAGTATTTTTTTCTACTTTAATTTTGACAATAATCAAAAACATATATATTCAGAACGTTGAAAATGGAACAGCGTTTGTATTTTTTTAGCACTTGTTGTTATATATTTCTGTTGTATAAATTCAAACAATTTCAACAAATTAATTGATGAGATGGAAAAAAAGTTCTCATTAATTGATGAAATGGAAAAAAAGTTTAACATATTTCGATAGTTATCACAAATGAAAAAACTTTTCATTTGTCTGGAGTGGAAAGAATTTTGATGTTATCAAAATTTATTTTGTGTTAGGGGTTGTGGTGAATCTGTTTGCATAAATTTCTTACTATTTTTAATAATGATACACAATGTATGATGAAAAATGCCATAAGGCAGATGGTCATGCAGAGAACAATTTGTGAATGGGCATGACTTTCTACAGACATATCTACTCTATGTTGGACTTGCTGACTCTCTTGACTGTTTTCTTCGTGAGGAACATACTGACATGGATGTCAAACATCGTTGGAATTGATCTTTCCTCCAAGAGCCCTGCACTTCTTCGTATTTCAAGGGGCTCACCACTCCTGGAGATAACTCATTTTTTTTCATTGGATTGCAAGACTTATGATTAATAAAGCAAATCTAAGGACTCAAATAAACAAAGAATTACGTGCAGGAAAAATATAGGCTGCATATCAGCTCAGTAAAAAAGGTTTCTTGCTTTCACTTCTCCGTGATTCAGTTTCTACTTCTTCTAAAGATGATTTTATATTTTTTTTAAAAATCGAATATATTTTTATTTTTGATTGCAATGTTTTTAATTGGCAATTGTAACAAGCTCTCCTCTTTCCCCCCACTACAGCGCCTCTGGCGGTGAACTAAGACAGTCTGCCAGGAACCGCCGTTAAGCACGGACATTTAATTCGAGCCCAAAACCCCCTCTTCCAAATTCTTGTATTTTTTTATCCTTGTTTTATTTTTATGTGTTTTGTCCTTTTCAATAAATATTTGGAGTTAGATAATTTCTAGTCTTTCATTATTTATGTGAATTGGTAGAAATACAAATAAACCAGGACTTCCCCTAAAAAATGACACCCAACTCGTGGCCGAACTAACGGTTCCTTGCTGGCTCAAATTTTTTTTCAGAAAGTAAATGAACATCCTGTTCAATTTGTGGAATTTAATGAGGTCATCCCGTACTTCGTTTTCCTGAATTTTGTATTTCCGTTTTCCCAGCTCACCTCAGCTAGACGAGGAAAACCCTTTCCCGCTCAACATCGATAAGTACAATTTTTATAGTAGTATGGTTTATTAGAGTAAAATATTAATATTTGCTATCCATTGATTTGAAACTTAGTGAAAAGATTATGTTGTATAGTAATTCTGTGTGTTAAGTTCAAATATATTATAAATATTTTGAATCATTCATTCTAAAAATAATTTTTATAAACTAAGAATCTGGTAGAGAAATATGTCATCAGAGTTAGCTATCTTTTATGTTTCAAAATGAATATATATTATGCAAAAGTTAAACAAACTGCATTCTAAAATATTTAAGCATTTTTTTTTCCTCATTTAAAAAAAAGTGTGTTTAAAACTATTCATCTGTTAGAATATTATTTTATGAATATCACTTTCGATTAATACTTGCGCGTCTGTGAATCAGACAAGATTCTTTCTTTATTGCTTTCTGTGGCGCCAAAACCACAGACGAATTTCTTTTCATGGTGAAATGAGAGTGTTTGTTTTGTAAATCTAAACTGAAACTTATGCTAATGATCATCAAGAACTCATGTCTTAGTTGTTATATTGTATTTTGTTTTATTTTCATTGATCTCAATTACAGATATATATTGAATTTAGCTAAGGTTATAATAAAACTTGTTATTTAAAAGAAGAAAAAAATCAAAACTAAGAAAGAGGAAAAGAAATTTAAGAATATGTTGCTTCTTTTTAATTCATTCATGTAACTTATAGTATAGTTTTATTATTACAATTTCTATTTGTTACTACTTTTTTTTAAAAAAAGAAAAGGGAATAATTTTTTTTTCTATTGCTATGTGTTTTATATGTATGTTACTATATTGAATACACTTTAGTAACAAAGGTGGATAATTTTGATAAATGAAGAGTAGTGTATTTTGGGATGAAAAAAAAAAGTTTAATCTTGGTTTAATAGAATTTTATCCAGAAAAATAGAAGTAAAATGTCTGTATAGTGTTTATACAGTATAATGTTTATTGTTCAAAATATTGATTTATTTACAATATTGGTGTTTTATATGGGAATTTTGTTATGTACTGATAGTTATAATTCACATTACCACTACTTGCTCTATAAAGTATATTTTCATTTCCCATTGATTATATTAACTGGTTCAAATTATCTCAAGTAATNCCCAAATCATGATCATTTTCATCAAAATGATCACCCATTTCTCAAAACTCCTTTCTCAAAGCGCAGGAAAAAATATTTCCCAAATCAATTTGCTGTTAAGCAAGAACTCTAAAGCGCACAATCAGTTATGAAAGCACAAGTTAGAATGATCAAAAATGATTTTGCAATGCATTATTACTAGTTTCTAACAATGAATATAGTTTATATTTCATGTACTAACAATCATATTTTAATTGTTAGCAATAAAGGAATCTTTTATACAATGAAATCTTAGTTCCAGCTTTTTATTTCTAACAATAGAAAATGTAATCAATTGTTAGAAGACAGTAAATTGAGTTTTAAGTGAAAAAGTAATGGTATTAGTACTTTACCATTCGATACTAGTTAAAAGCAATATTTTGGTCAAAGTAAAAGTATTTTAATACCCATGAAATATACATATCGATACACAGAGAGTTGCGTAATGACTACCTTAGATGAATCTACTTAGAATCTTTGCAAAAAATTATTTTAAAAATGTATGCTCATTAGGATTTACACATTAATAATTAAGAAAGAAAAAAAATTACGAAAGCTATCAAAATCTTTCGAATTTTCTGTAAGGAAGGCGACAGAAAAAAAAATAGAAACATGTTTGATTGCTATGAAATTTAAAACTGTTTCTTAAATTATTCTGAGAATTGCAATCTTCTAATTCTTTAATTACTCTTTGTTTTTTCTGGAGCGTTTCCTACTTTTCAGAGGTGAATTGAAAGATGAGGGGTGTTCTTCCCCACTTAAAGATTTCACCTCACTTCCTCATTATTTTGCAGGGTGTTTATAAAGTCCCGGACCCATTTTTATGCTTA